GTGCGTATCACGAGGGAAGTTGACATGTGTGATGGAACGGAGCGGACTTGACCGCCCCAATCATTTCCTTTGCTGAAGACGTTCTTCTCATATAAAGCGATGCTTTCTCCGGAAAGCACCGGTCCTCGTTGGCCGAAAAAGCGTCTGCATTCTTCAAAGGCATGCCGAAGCTTGGAGAGTTGTTCTGGGAAGGTTCTGCGATGTCATATGCGCTTGCCAGTGACGCTAGATTGGATTTCGAGAAAGATACTGTCTGACTTTGAAATGATCGTGAGGCTGGTGATTCCGAAAGAAAATGGCAGCGAGGTACTTACTTCGGCGCCATCTGACTACGTCGCTTTTTGCCCTAGAGTATCCTTCGGTGAGGTCAAGCAACATTATAGAAGGAGGCTTTGTTGGTGACATTGGAAATGCTATGTGTACATACATGCATGATATGAGTCTAGTCCAGTTCCTTGCTTTAGTCGCAGGAATGCCTCCCACCAGAATCCCGGCCTGCCGTGAGCCGAAGGATGGGATCGCCGCTCGGCAGTCCCACCCGAGGCTCCACACCCGGACTTAGCGGCCGTATCACCGGCCGCGGAGCTCCGTGGAAGGATTTCATCGCCGCTTGCAACCTGCTTGATTACGTACTCTCATGGCGTCGCTTAAGTTGGGTTAAGCATCCTTTAAACGTCATTCAGAGTATATCAAGGCGGCGGATTGCACCTCATTCGAGCTAGTTTTCAACACATCATCGTACCTACCTGCGTCAGATTCAATACTCCTTCGTAATTCCCAGCTGTAAACCGAACATTGAACGAATCCCTTCTGGCAACAATCCCAAAGGCAACCACGAGCGCCCCCAACATGTCTATCCTTGTTCTCGGAGCCGGCGAGTTGGGCTCAGCGATGCTCAAAGCACTCACCTCACACCCCTCTCGGTCAAAAGACGCCAACATCTCGGTTCTCCTGCGGCCATCAACCATCTCTTCTACCGACCCATCGAAATCCAAGAGTGTCTCGGACATCAAAGCACTCGGTGTCTCCGTCGAAGCGGGCGATGTCGTGAACGATTCCATCGCAGACCTCGCCGCACTCTTCAGCAAATACGACACCGTCATCAGCTGCACCGGCTTTGTTGGTCCCACAGGAACCCAACGTCGTATTTGTCAGGCTGCATTGCAGTCCAGCGTCCGCCGCTACATTCCCTGGCAGTTCGGCGTTGACTACGATGTCATCGGACGCGGGAGTCCGCAGGTCTTGTTTGACGAGCAACTCGACGTGAGAGATATGCTACGCGCGCAGACCAATACGGAGTGGATCATCATTAGCACGGGGCTGTTTATGAGTTTCTTGTTTGTGAAAGAGTTTGGAGTCGTGGACTTTGAGGAGAGGAAGTTGAGGGCGCTGGGGGGCTGGGATGTGGAGATAACAGTGACGGGACCGGAGGACATCGCGAGGATGACAGCGGAGGTTGTATTTGAGCCGAGGGGCATTCCAGGTAATGGGAGCAATGTGGTATTTGTAGCAGGGGATACAATCTCTTATGGGAGGATTGCTGACTTAGTGGAGAAGAGGTTTAACGAGATTGAGTTCACGAGAGAGGAATGGGGTATGCGATTGATAGAAGCAAGTTTGAAGCAGGACCCGGGAAATGTGTGGAACAAGTATCGGGGGATCTTTGGAGCTGGCCGTGGCATTGCCTGGCCTATGGAGAAGACATTGAACTATCAGCGTGGCATAAAGCTAGAAAACTTAGAAACATGCTTGAGAAGCATGAAGAGCCCGGCAATGTTGGAAGCGTAAGGAAACGTAGTTCGAGGTTGGGAAGCTCCCGGTAAGTCATCCCAAAGATCCGGGCGGTCTATTCGTTAGCGAAGCAAGAACAAGTCTTTATATAGTCAAGTTGAGTAGAACCAAGTCCTTCATCCAAACCTGTGGAGCCAAACAAGCGGCCTCAAAAATTGTTCTTACCACATGATGCCATGTGCAAAGTAGACTTGACCTTATCCTGATCCATGCCAGCTAAAATCAGGCTGAGTCCAGCTGAACCGAACGTGCATGCATAACTGTGCTCTACCCACTTAAGTATGACCACATGCAGCAGTGCTATGTACTAATCGGCCAATCCCATTGGTTACTTCATCTCACGGTGTCAGATTTCAACAAAATCTCGCAGCCTGATTTCAACCCCGCTCGTCTCACTCCTCTTAACACTCATACTTGAGGGCCGAACTCCTCAAATATTGACCACGGCCCTATTTCAAACCCTCAAAGTCAAGAGAAGCAAACTACAGCCGGCAAATTCCTCATCTACTTTCGTCTCCTCTTCATGCTATCATGGCTGGAAGATATAGGGATCCCCGACTGTCAGACGATTTCGAGTATCTGGCAGTGCCTCAGTCGAATCGAGGTTATCATTCGGACGATGAAGCTCGGCAGAAGAAGCGGACAGTCTTTGTCGATCGCAGAGAGCCTCAGGTGTCAACAGAGGCGAGAAGACCATCCCCTCCGCCGAGACTGAAGCGTGTTCATGTCGAACAGTACTCCAGTCGTGTCCCATCTCCACCTCCGTTGAGGAACGACCATCGCCGGTTCTCTTCGCAGGATGTGCGACCACCCCGCGCCCTCAGCCCTCCGCGACCAGCACCATTCGCTCCAACCGGCGTCTCTTCGTACCCTCTGGCTCCTAGGAGGAATGGATCTCGCGATGCTCGGATTCCTCAAGTGAGTGTTGAAGTAAATCCACGCCATGAGACGGTGGCCTCCACACCTTCGAGACCGGATGCCAATGTGTTGTTTCCGAAAGTCATGCAACAGAAAGAGCAACGCTCATGGCATAAGAGGCCAAGCTCGGCTGGCCGGTCAGTCGCAACATCGCCGTCCCTCGCAACATCCGGGCAGTCATTCCCTTCATCCGCGACTGGCACACTCGGCGACAGACTCTATCGATACAACGCATTAGGAGAGTCTGAAATCAGATTGATCAGACTACTTCCGGCGCGAATGTTCAAGATCAAATGCGAAGTATTCCATGCTCCAATTACAAAATTACCGGACTATATCGCTATATCGTATGCGTGGGGCGACGCAGGGGACACGCGACGTTTGGAACTTGAAGGCACTGAGATTTCGGTATCTGCTAGTTTGCATGGCGCCTTGCAAGCTCTCCGACGAAAGAATGAGATAGTCACCGTATGGGTGGACGCGCTCTGTATCGATCAGCACAACAGGGATGAAAGAACACAACAAGTTCAAATGATGACAAAGATCTACTCGAGGGCAGAGTCCGTAGCTGTCTGGCTTGGCCCAGAAGCAGACCGAAGTTCTGACGCGGCCGACTTTCTCCTGAGAATGACTCAACACTCGGGATCACCAGACAAGATTACGAAACTTCTTTCCTCCAAAAGTAACGAGAGAGACATCGCAGCAGCCGTCTCTCTTTTCGAAAGAGACTACTGGAAGAGACTGTGGGTGGTACAAGAAGTCTTCAATGCACGCTCCGTCACTGTCTATTGCGGCTCCAACAAGCTTCCGTGGGATGTCTACAGAGAAGCGTCCAACGTTTTCCAAAGACACAAGGGTGACTTGGACTACTACTTTCCTGGAAATTCCCAGGGCCGGACATACGCCAGAGCAGCACAGAACCACTTCACCTACTCCCAGATTTTGACTTATCAAGGTCCTGGAAGTCTTCCAGACATCCGGGCTTTGAGACACTATGGGGAGGATTCTCTTCTGGAGGTTATGCGCGTCTGTCGACGGAAATTCTCCGCTGATCCGAAAGACAAAGTCTTCGGAATCTTAGGTTTGCTCACGGAAGACGTGCGCAAGGACTTCCCAGTCGACTACAGTCTATCCGTCAAAGAAATCTACACGGACGTGGTAGATTTTCTTATATCAACAACTGGACGTTTCGACGTGATTTGCGAGGCCATTCACTACCCGCCTCACATGAACACTGCGAATCTACCCTCGTGGGTCCCAGACTGGTCTCACATTCCCGACACCGTTGCTTTGGGCGCTATGGGCTTTGAGCCGCCCTTCTCCGCATCGCAACGCAAAGAGATCAAGTTTTCCTTCAAAGACGATCGTCGAAACAAGATTGAGATCACCGCTCTTGAGATTGACACCATCCGCACTCATGGCATTGCCGTCGGCACACTGTGCACACTGGCAGACTATCTGATGGCTTTCATCCACTGGAGAGCGCTTCTGCTGGCGACGTACAAGGCCGACGACATCGAAGCTCAAGACCTTTTCTGCAGGGCACTTTGTCTCAATCAAGTGCCTCGAAAATGGGCCAATTCATTCGACTGGGTGACCGCCTGCTTCCATGTCTTTGCGTCGTTGATCCGAGAGAGGTTGCCGCATCTGCCTCTTGATCAAGAACTTGAGAAGTACATTGATGCGAAAACTGATATCAAGCCTGACGCTCGTCGGAGATTCCTTCAGGAACACTTCGGCTCTCGGATGATGGGTCGATGCTTTTACATAACTGAGGGCGATCGCATTGGCATCGGATCTGGATTCATGGCTGTCGGAGATACGGTCGTCGTCCCGCTTGGCTGCTCCACGCCAGTGGTTCTTCGCCCTGAGGGGTGTCGCTCAGAGTGTCGCTATGTTGGCGACGCATATTTGCATGGGTACATGTATGGCAGAGCCATAGACCAATGGCGTAATGGAGACAGGAAGGCGTCCAAGTTTGTCCTTCACTAGTGTCGCATCATAGGAAGGTTTAGTTTTCAAGTCATCTGATAGCCAATAGAGGCGTTGAGCGGCTAGTAATGAGAGCACTATTCACGATGAAGCACAAAACGCGCAAGCTTTGGGTGACAACTGCCCACAGGGCTCATTGAGTCTAAATACATACACGCTATATGGGCATGTACAGAAGGAAGAATATCTACAAGTAAACAAGCCTATACATGAGTGCCTTTTCACGGAATGTGGCACTGTTGAGTCTCTCGTTCGGGTCAAAAAGTGCCCGAGCAGATCTCGCGATTTTGTTCAGGAGCTTAAGAGCTGGTGACGTCGGAGGTAGAGTACTTGCAGGCGGTCGACGGGCCGCTGGAGATCTCGGTGGGCTCATCACCGGAGTCGTTGCCCTTGAACTCGGTGCAGACCTCGCTGACGCTCTTGGCAACAACGTTGGTGAAGGTAGCAGTGTCACCGTAGTTGGAGTTGATACCTGGAGGAACAGATGTTAGATGGGGTTTCACAGAAGGCTGGGTGAAGGAGCGAAGAACTTACCAGCAAGGAGCTTTCCAGAGGAGGCGTTGATGTCGTCGAAGATAACGTGGCGCTCGTACATGGTCTTGCAGTTGCCGCAGCTGCGGTAGAGCTTGCCGAAGTCGGAAACAGTGAAGCCAGAGACGGAGAGGGTACCGGCACCGTTGTGCTGGAGGACCTTGTCGGAAGCACCGGTGGCACCACCGCCGGTGATCTTGGTGGTCTCGCCGGCATCCTGCTTCTTGATGGTGAAGGCATCCTCGCAGACAGCAGACCACCAGACGTTGGTGAGAGTGCAGCCACCGTTGCAGTGGACACCCTCAATCTGGTTAGGGCCGATGATGACGTTGGAGAGGGAGGCGCCCTTCTCGAGGATGAAGACGGAGTCGGAGTCACCGCCCTCAGCCTGGCCAGTGCAGGAGACACCGCGGTCGAACATCTTCATGCCACCGTCGAAAGACTCGCCGGCGGCGATGGTCTGGGCGGCCTTGAGGACGGAGGTACCGGAGGCGGCGGGGATGTCACCTCCGGAGGTGCCGTTGCTGGCAGCGGCGATGGCGAAGGAAGCGGTGCCGTTGCCGGGGGCGGAGGTGATGATGGAGCCGGGGGAACGGGTCTTGGTGGCGTGGGTCTTCTTGGGCTTCTTCGCGGACTTGGTCTTGGAGGGGCTGGCCTTCTCAGCGCGAGCGAGCTTGTGAATGAGGTCGAAGTAGCCGGACTCGGCGCGGGCAAGGTTGTGCTCCTTGGGAGCGGCCTGGGCGGCGGGAGCGGCGGCGATGCCGAGCACCATGGTGGTGAGAGTGAGGGCGACGGAGTACTTCATTTTGATGGTTGGTTGTTGGGTTGGTTGATTGGTTGGTAAGGAAGGCGAGATAAGTGAGAGGAAAAAGGCTTGTCTACTTGAGAGAACGAAGAAATAGAATCAAGCCTGCTTGAAAGAGTGTAATGAACAATGAAGACCGAAGAGGTGTGAGTTGAAAGTGATGAGAGACAGAAAGAGCTGCTCTTGGCTGGATATCACGCCGTTACTTATATCAAGCGAGCTGCCAGGATGGATGGTATCTTCCCACGTCCATGTCTACCGTGGAGTTACACTACAGTTACCGACGCCAATATTAGATGTGGTCCAGACTAGAACGGGAACTGGTCCAACTCCAGCCAAGGCCAAGAGGCTCCATCTCTTCCGCAGACTACACAGGTATCAATCAACAAGCGACGCGGAGGAAATGAAAGCGTCGATGCAGGTACTGAAGATCGCACTGGAGCCACTAATCCACCGTGTTCCCACAATGTGGGCTCATCCCAAGAGATCCTGTCAGACTCAGCGCCAACTGCCATGCAGCACCGGTAGTAGTGGACTGGCATGAGTTAGGCGTTGGCCGGTGGTGGTGGCATCCCTCCGGCTGTAAGCTCCATCGGAAGACGGACACAATTCCCGGTTCGGGACATGGACTCATCCCAACTTGATTGTTTGCTTGCAGGTCGTTGCCCGAAAGAGAGGTGTGATGGCCGCTCCCGCATCGGAATCTCGACGGGGGACCCCCGTGTCCTGACTAGCCAGTCCCGCCCTTTAATTCGATCTCCTTGGCCCCAAAGCTTGAACACAGACGAATCCCAGGTCTTGAATAAAGTGATGGCCCAATCCGGTTCACGGGCGGGAATCGCCCCTGGGCCCTGCTCAGCCACGCGCCCACACCAACATCGCAACAGCCCCGACTTTCAGTCTGTCAAAACCGTCACTCACTCTCGGTCTGCAGACAACTCTCGCTGTATCCCTGGCTCTTCAATCACTCCCACACACACCACAAGCGGCGCCATCTTGCTGCCCACTCCCCCATGGCGTCTGCCAGGGGCACATCTCAATGTCGCACCACCCCTTGCAGGTCGTTTCGAAACAGACGAGCAGGATGGCCAGGGTCGCCGTCCAGTCAGCCAAGCCAACCACCGCCAACGTCTCTATCGTAAGACTCCACTCTCCCCAGTTTTCCAAAGCAATGCCAAGACCTCCTCAGACGAAAAATCATGATGTCCATATTGCCATCCCGCGTCACTAGTCGCGGCCGCGCGGATTGGGATTCCAAGATGCGTGAGGGAAAGTGCTCAGGGTCTTGGCGGGCCAGATGATGACGGCCGCTGCGGTGACGAGAACGAGGCACCCGAGATTTGCTGCCCGTTGTTTCCTCGCGCGCATACGATCCTGCAGTCCGGCCCCCTTCATGGCCTCCGGGCGCTCTCGTCACGTCAGTTTGGGCCGGGCGCATCGCTTGTCGGCTTGTTCGGTCCAGTTCAGACGTTTTAAGGTCGCTTCAATGGAGAATATCTTATCCGATTCCTGCTCTGATCGCCGTCCACAATGACATGGAGAATCTGTCTCAGCAGTCTCCGTATCGAACCGTATAATCGGTAAATCATAAGACTTTGCCAGCACGAAAGTTCGAGAACTAGTGCTCTGAGAGCTATAGATCATCGCATATACGCCAAGGATAGCCTGGTTGGGAACAGCCGCAAGTTGATACCGGTGATGCAGCCGCATATATTTGGCCCCTATTATGGGGTGGTATGAGGGAGGATCTGCCGCGGTGAGGATTTGCACTGGCCATCGGAGGCGGCCTCGAAATCCATGGTGAAAATTTTGAACGCCACGATTACCATGGAAAATGTTGTTTTCCCGTCTGCGCGCTGCTGTCATCCGTTGGTCTGTCTCGTCTTTTGCCTGCCGGTGTGGCCGGGGCTCGTCGCCCACTCTTCCGGAGGCCGGGCCTCTTCGTGAGCAGAGGGTCATTTACAGGAGACCGGACACGTCCCGGCCGCTTTTCTCACAAGGTGGGGTCGGTCCAATCCTGTACTAGACGTTGATGATGTCTTAAGGTACGATTACAGTCGTATCTACGTCTTTCTGTTGAAACTGAGCTTGGCTTCCCGTACCGCATGTCGGAGGTAGAGAATTAAGGTAGAGGTGCTTGTGCTCTCCCCCCAATGCAACGTCAGCGTCCATGGTCGTGTTCGGCTTGTGTACGAAATGACTTCGTCTGATGTTTTGATTCGTGGAACATCGGATCGTACATGCGATGCTGATCACCTGGTGGCCTGGCCGTTGTCGATTTGTCTTGGACATATGAGTGTCAATGCCGCTTTTCAGAATTTCAAGACGATGTCGCCACGGCTCAGCTCACATCGCCCCCAATATGTTTCCTACTAAAAGCCGCGGCAGACTTTGAGACGGAATTGATATGCTTGAAGCTTCTCCGCGGTCTACTTCCGTTAACCTCATCACTAGCGCTGGAGTTGGCTTCATTGTTGGCCCGGAATCAGGAGGCCTGCATTGACAGTGGGCAGCGTCTCATCCCTTAGCTCCAGATGTATTGCGATCATCCCTCTCTCCCGTGCCTCTGGGTTCCAATCGTAAATGTCGCATCACCCGCCCGAACGCTGCTAAAATGACGGAAATAGATCGCTATGGGAACCGATGTAGGTCTCTGATTGGCGAATGATCTTGGCGCATCTGCTCAGCGGCTCTTTTGAGGATGCACGTCGCCATTGTCCATCGGTCTCAACCTTCCCGATCTGTCCGCTGTCTGCCCGAACTTTGCTTTTGTCAGCTATCGCCTGGCAGCATGCGACGAACACCCAAAAAGCTTAGGCAGCAGAACGAATTCTTGTCGCACCGGAGTCTCAAACAAAGCCAAGTTTGCAGGTGTGCGCGTTCGCGCCTCCAGCCTGCTTGCTGATATTGACGTGTCTTGGCGCCGAGCCTTGGAAGCAAACGCTCAAGAAAGGGGGCAGAGGATTATGGTGTTGGCCGTGTTAGCGACCGCTGCGTAGCCCCCGAAGCACAGGGCCGTTTGTTTTCAGTGTGATTGACTCAAGCTCTCCCTTCTTCCCGAAACTCTGCTAGTAATGTCATAGCTGCCAATAATTGCACTCTGGCCAAAGTCGGGTTCGTGCGACTCAGCATCGAAACGATGCAAAAACTCAATTCAAGTCGTTTGGTGCGAAAGACACGTGGTGGTTGAGGTAGAGTTCAATCATAAATTCAACGCCGTCCGTTGTCTACGGCGCCCCTGTTTGCGCAATTGATCGTAGTACTACAGCAATTGAACCAGCCCACGATGGCCCAATCATGTATTCGCGTAGATCTGCGTACAGCACAGCGAATTGATGGAGAATATGTCCCCTTCGTTAGTCTTTTACAGAGCATGTTTTGACTTTACGGAAAATTGGAGATCATCGGGCGGTGGGATATCTCCCGGCTATGCGACACAACCAGCCCCATCGAGTCCTATTTTCTCACATTCAAGGACCCGTTCATCGGATACCTTGGCAAGGGTTTTGTCTGATAAATCATGAGGATGCAGTTGCGGATAGACGCAGAATTCTAGACCTCTGTACGGATGCTCCTGGCATCCATGGTACGGTATCCGATGAACTGGGGGAAATGAGCAGGACCGGTCCCGGCGCAAATTTGACTCACGCGGTCTCCCTATCCGCGTCATCAACGTCACCTCGTAACCGGCCGTCTCATTGCTGTAATCCCGGAACTTCCGATCAGAGATATTGAGTGCAGTTTGCGGCTTGCTTCTTCGAGTGAAATGATGCAGCTGCGATATTCCTGCGATCGGGTCAAACTCCCGCCAGCATCCAATGCGCAACAACATCGGAGACGTGGATCGTCCCATGCAAACAATTCTTTCTTTCTTTTCTCAGGGACTGGTTTACACGACGTTTAGATTTTTTCGCATTGATATTCTAACCCAATTCTTCCGGTGTTTTGATGCCAAGGTGACGGAAACCTAAGGTCGGCCGCAAGTAGACTCGCATCGACCTGATGAAAGCGCCGTGTTCCCAAGCTTTCTCAATTGAATCAAAACTCACCAAAGAAGAATTTTTATTGAAGATGGATTTTACATGCTTAACAGCTCCTCGTAGACACCGTAGACTTCTCAAATTCCATTCAGTATCAAGTTTTGCTTCGGCGAGTAAGCGGCGTCTTCGCAAACCAATGGCTACTGTTCTCGCCTCTTCATGGTGAAAGCTTTCCAAATTTATGAACATTCGACTCTTATCCTGTCCGTTCGTTCCCTTTTGGAGTTGAAGGTGTCTTGACTTGAAGTCACCAGCCTTGGCGAATGCTGCGTCAGCAGACGTCTTAGCGATGCCGTGCCGGCTAGGACGGCACAATTGGGCCACTTGGTGGGCTTCAACTCAAAGATAAGCTTAACATAAGATTTTCTGCCCAGCTTTGGTGTGCATCTTGACAGACGAACGATCTTGTGCCGGTTACCCAGGGTCGGTCGGCTCGTCGGCATCTTGGCTGCCACTTCTCCACAGGACGCATAACAGGCCCATCGCCAATGCTGAGGCCGTCGTGATGATCTTTTGCCAAGCCCTGAGAATTCTGAGCCCAAGAATCGTTTCTCCGGCGCGAAGAAGGATAGAAAGCTTTCGCGGATATTCTGGTCTGGCCGTGCTCGTATGCGACCGTGGGATTATTATGATCGTTCGAGTAGGACATTGATGTCAAGAACAAGAGTAATCCAGAGCAAATATTACATCAGACGCGAGATATTCTATTGTTTGCTCTGAATTTTGACTATTATCTGGCTACGTCTCCGTTGCTGTCGTTCTGCGGCCGCGAAAGGTGTCTCCCCTGTCCACATACTGCCATGCCCGCATTCATGCCACTCCTACATCCTCATCGCCTGCCTTCCTTGATGATGTTCTCTACCATATCCAATTTGGTCATCTTCTTGAGCATCCCTTCAAAGAGTCCCGGCGGCAGCATTGATGCCACCCGAGACAAGAGTGCACTCTCACCTCTCCAGATGACTCTCGGTGGGTTCTTTGCCAATAACGCTGAAGAAACCTCCGACGCCCACTGATGCGGCGAGATTCCTCTAACTCGAAGTTCATCTTGGCTCATAGCCCTCTCCACAATTTCCCGGGCTGGCTCATAAATCGAACCTTCCGGCAGCCGTTCGCCATTGGTGTTGAACTTGTTGTTCGAGATCAGGTTTGTTTTCACACCAGCTGTCTTGAGCTCCACGACGTGAATCCCGAAAGGTGCCAGCTCGAGACGCATGGTGTCGGAGAGTGAAGCAAAGGCCGCTTTTGAAGAGTTGTAGATGCCTTGGAACGGTATCGCAGTGACTGATCCCACCGATGTATGGTTCACAATCATCACCTGAGCTGGATGGCCATCCTCGGACAGGACTGCCGTTCCCTTGAGCAGGAGAGGCAGAAACGCTTGGGTGACAGCCACTTGGGACCAGACATTGACGTTGAACATCTCTTTTGCTGCATCTAAAGACGCGTCTGCAATGGGCATTGTGTAGCTTCCGGCAGCGTTATTGACAAGCATGTCCAAGCCTTTTCCGTCGGGCAAGGAGGAGGTAACAGAAGAGACAGCTGAGGCGATGGACGACGTTGATGTAATATCGAGAGCAACAGTTTCGATTCCCAGCTTCTCGAGCGGCATCATCTTGGACGGATCACGCGCTGTGGCGTAGACGTGATGCCCCGCGTTGTGGAAGGCAATTGCTAGGGCCGCACCCGTTCCGCCCGGTGTGCAGCCCGTGATCAAGATTCTGAGTTGCCGTGAAGCAGACATGTTGAAATTGTAACCGAAAAGTAGTCAGATAATATTGTTTGTCGACGGCGGTAATTGGTAAACCAGATGAGGCGTGTCTTTTATGAAGTTGGCCCACAAGGAAGCATCGAAATGCTTGTTCAAGAACTAAGAGGATGACGGCAAAGATTACAAGCGCAGCCAAGAATTGGAATTTTGGTTATTTTTCGGGCTATTTATACCTTCGAAGGCTTGTAGGCTTCCAGTGTCCTGCGTTCGTGTCGCTATCGTGCGCATGCGGATTTGCGGAGCGGACCGGCGGACCGGCGGGCTTAAGTGGATCCTCACCGGCGCCGCTCACCAAAAATCAGGCCGCTTCCGACCAAGTCCCATTCAGGGACGGATTCTCCGCCACGGGTCCGCTCGGAGTCCGCTGCTAGAAAATTAGGCAGCCCCCGTGTTGTACGAGCCACCTTCGGCAAGATCGCATGCAATAGCAGCAATCTCAAGTTGATCTTCATTGAAAACACAAAATCAGCTTTTGGTCGTCTTAGAGGTTATGGGTACATTACCTTTCAAAGCCGCTACGGCACCAAAGCCTCTAGAGAAATGTGCGAGTACTCGAATAGCAGTCTTGACGCCATCTGCAAGTCTCTTTCGTGTCTCCTGCGACACTCCATCATGTGTGCCTTCTGCATGTGCTGATGAATCAAAGTGGGAAATCATCATGAGGGTGTATCCTGCAAGCAAACCAGAGCAGAAGCAAGGAGTGACTAATCGAAGTTGAGCGAGAAGTCTAGGGATTTAGTATGCGTGACTTACGAGCAGATCCTGAATTAAGCAGCTGATTCAAACCATGCACAATATTTGATGCAGACTGTTGGCATACAGCTTTAGACTGAGCCGCAGAGAAAGGGAATATCCTGGCTGCTTTTGCAGCATCCAACGATGTCGCACACTCCAAAGCGCCATCAGAAGTAGATAATCGAGAGCGATGGTTGGTGTCGAAACGACTTAGGATACGTAGGTTATCCATCATGGCCCGATATCTATGCAGCTTGATGCGGGCGCTGTGGTAGGTCAGCATTTTGTCGTAATCTAGAAGCAGCAATCGAACCTGTTTAATCGGATGCGGGCTGTGGTGCGGAAACAATCAGTCAGTCTTGACTCGGAACCTTCTACTCTGGGTGTTCGATGGTCTCCATCTTGTCCGCTGTCATGCAGCAGATGCACAATGACATCGTCCATGATACGGATGTTATCGTGTAAGGATTGTGCCGCTGTCTCAGAGTTGAATCCTTTTACCAAGGCAACAAGCAAGAGTGTTGCAGCAACCAGCGTTTCTTCGGCGCGTATTGTCTGCTCCCAGATCTATCTCAATCAGCTATAACGTCAAAGACTACCGTACGTAATGAGCATTGAAAGCTCACCTTTGAGCTTCCGGCAAGAGTTGGATATGGTATGGTGACTTTACTAATATCGATTGTGTCTTCGGGAGACTGATTCAAATCAGCATATGGTGAGCACGCCAGCCCTTTCTTTTAGTTCCTTGATCTCACCTTGCAATTAACAATGGATGCATTGCATATGCACATATACTGTGTGGTTTACCGTCAGATGTGCGGCCTTCAGTGAGGACTTTGGCGACTCACTGTCATCCACCAAGCTCTTCGAAGGCTTTCCTCAAAACGCACTTCTAGTCTCGGAGCTGTTGTATTTGAAGACAGTTCTCTCAAAAAGCCAAAAGCATTCCGAACATAAGACGCCATTTCTTCAATGTCTCCTCTACACAGATAGTGGTAGAGACTCAGCACGCAACATGCCAGTGGTCTCTCAAGTTCTCCGGGTACGTTTGGATGAAACCTTGACGCGGAGAAGGCATGAGTCTCCGAGGCTTTTATGACCTCCCAGCTTGTGATCGCGTGCAGTGCATGTTGAGAAAGAGATGTGCTCCTTTCAAGATTGTCTTCGTCTGTTACTTCAGGATAACTGTGATGACCGCGCAGTTGTGGTACGTGAATGAGAATTGATAGAATAGCCAAGATTACCGGAGAAGAAGGCGAGTATGTGTTGGTCGGTGGCGCTGAGTCTGAGACATTATCCATCAGGCTGTCAACCGGTGGTGGCAGTATTGGAAAGGCTGGGTGAAGAAATCTGTAGTATGATCGCAGACTGAGATAATATCATTCAAACAGTCAGTGTCCAGCTCAATTATGTGAGCCACGGGGCAAAAGAATCGTCAAGTGAGGCAAACATACACATCATTATCGGAGGTATAGGCCCCAACAAGGCGTTGGAGGGGCGAGACGACGGTCGCCGGCGGACTTTCATAGTCAGCGCGCGGATAAGTAGGAATACTAAAGATATCTGCAAAGAACTCGTTTAGATCTTCCTCTGTGCCTCCATGGAAAATGTTGTTAAACTGCAATGCATCGAAATCATCATTGAAAAGAGGAGGGAGTCCAATGACTGTGTCTAGATTGAGATCCCCCGCGACAGCCACCGCGCTCTCTGTAAGATTATTATGTGCTTCGGTTTGGTGAGCCATGACACGACTTCTAGTGTTCAAGACGGATGACTCCTGGCGAAGATCTTCATGGCGACTCTTTGCCGGCCGCAAGCCTCGAAGGCTAGGAAGGAAGGTGCACGAGTCGCCCTTCCGGAGACACTAAGTCGTTCTTAACTCAGAGTAATATTCATGTACATACGGGAGGAATCTACTCACCCGGGTGCATGGGCGATCGCCACTACAGCGTACGCGAGATGCTCTGCTTGAAGGGCTTTAGAGGAGGCCCTTACCGTCTACGAAATGGGAAAGGGCGGGCGAACCATGAGGTACAAGCAGACTTCGCGGGTGGAGTCGCAAACTTCCGAGTCCCTGGCTTCCTTCCGATCATCCTCGCGTTAGTCCTTTGACAGCTTCACCGTGGAGAGACATGAAGCCAGTGCCTGCTTGATGAGGGCAGAGATGATTGTCTCCAATCTCGGGATTTGGAATGGAGAATTTCAGCTAGAGGCCGAGGTCTAAATCCCGAAAATTGGAGACGTCATAGCGTCACAGTAGTACTTCCGGTATTCCTGGTGTCATGACTCGTCATTATCGCAGCAAAAGTCAAGCAGTTGTTGAACCCTGCCCTTTTGGAGACACCGAAGTCTCCAACACCTCACCAACAACGCACACATCCACATGAAGATGCAGACAGATAGACCGCATATCTGTTCATTTTGCAGCAGGGGGTTTCGAAAGCCCGAACATCTCCAACGACATACACGGACTCGTGAGTAGCACCTGCACAAGGAAACGCAATCGTTACATCTCTAATGCTGCTTCTGATAAAAAGACCATGCTGATTGAGTGACTGTTTAGATACGAAGGAGAAGCCATATGTTTGTGAATGTGGTTCATCTTTCGCTCGGAGAGACTTGCTACAGCGTCACAAGCGACTTCATCATAAGTCAAATAGCGATCCTTCCTACCAGGAAGATCACCTTCCACCGCCGAGTCGTGTCAACGACCCAGTATTCGAGGGAACAGTGCGAAGGTCTGTTTCCAGAAATGTTGAGACACTACCGTTGCCCCCAGAATATTGCAGCCAGCGTAGGTTTCAAGTCTTAGATACACTGCTGGTCAGTAACTGAGTCCGGTATCAGGGCCAGCTTTCTTACACTCGGCACGAAGCGAACATGTTCTTCATGATTTCGAGGACTTCTTTCGTAGCAGTGGTCTATTTCGGATTGCTGGTGACCTCGTCTCCAACAATCATAGTCAAGCTAGGAAAGAAGACCTGGCTCGCGTCCCAATCCAAAGGGTTGCCCCGCCCGATCTCCTAAACTTGGTTGGGCAAATCACAGACCTCAACACGGAATCAAGAGACGAAGATCGTAAGTCTTTCTCCGCAATTGCTTTACCTTTCTTTTGGTATAGATACTCTGACAATGCACACATTGCCAGCCCATGAGACTCCCGAAGCATTATGGGAAGAATACCTAAAACACAAGCCCTCTTTTGCCATCCCATCTATCCAGACACGCACTCGATATTACAAGTCTTTCATGAAAAATGGGAGAATTGCCTTAGTACACAGTAGTGTAGACCCCGGAAAACTGCACATCGGTTTTCAGACGGCGATGCTTGCACTAGGAGCACTTTACCTATTCGAAACCGACATAGGGGAGATGCTCTATGAAGCCAGCAGATATTTCACCCGTGACTCTATTGCAATCAGTTATAGAGCGACAAACATCCTTGAACTATCGTGAGTAATATTTGAGATTTCTCTGCATCTGCACCCTTTCCACGAGCGCATGGTCTAACACTTCGGAAGAATTGAGCTCCAGCTTACAAGCACGTTTCTGTTACTATCTGAATACGTCAAACTAGCACAGCCAACTAACCTAGTAGAAGAGTTACGTTTTCTCGATTGCAAACTGAGCCATTGGTTCCACCTCAGCATTGCCTCGGCTGTGGCGCCTTTGGAAACCGAGTTGCAACGGCAAATCACGACCGAGGTGGCCCAGCGCAGCTTTGCCTTTGCCTTTTGCGCCCTTGCGATCCACAGCTATCTCTCAGACTCTCCGATGCCGTCTTTCTCGGCTAGCCGTCAACTCCAACTGCCATGTCCTCGAAGCCTTTGGAATGGCCTGGAACACGATCCTATGCCTCACACAGAGGAAAATACAGCTGTGGCGGTATACGATCAGCTGCTCCGCTATGAGGATGAACTTGATGAGACAAATTTGAGACGTAACCATGTTCCCCAACTTGCCACGGAAGTGGTGTGGGTTTTGCTGGGACTTCATCTGCAGCGTTTGAAGTTCACACGAGAGGCTGCTCATCTTCTACCTTTTGAAACCCTGGCCAGGTCAGAGGGTGAACGACTTGAGTAAGCCTACAACTAAATCACACCATAGCCAACTGGTGCAACTACTAACTAAACGCAGTAAAGTGACGTTGCTTCTTATCAAATCCTGTGATGCCGCAACAGACTTGCCTTCGAGGGATGTTGCGGACCAAAGATTGAATAACGACTGCAAGGGTCTCTTGCATCTCGTTTACTCGCGGAGGGTTTTAGAAAGCTCAGGCTCTACATCCTTAGCGTCGAATCTCTTCAATCCCATAGGGGTTGCGTCCAAGCTGATAAACCTGCCTTCCGAAATACCACTATCCTCCGCAATCATACTTCCAGCCATCGAGGAATATGTTGCTCTCATGGAGGAGCCCGCAAACAGCGGTGTTTCATTCTTTGTGCGTATGTCTGCCAGTACGTGGGGATTTGAGATGGCTCTATCAGCCTTTTATGCCGCCATTCTTGTTACAAAATGGCTGTTACATTTAATCAGCCGCCAAATAAGGAGCCGAGGTCAGTTCCTACAGTGAATTTCCTCCCTTACTATGACTGACAGAGTCAAGCTGAGCGCGAGCTTTTTGAGAGAGTTGAGACACTTGTCACGATGATGTCATCGTCCCTCGGCGATCCCCGTGCCTCAACTTCTCGAGAAGAAATGGATTTCCTTCCTTACTCGATCTTGAAGTTCTGGTCTCGCGTGCTACAGACACTCGATAATAAACCTTTTCCACAGATGCTAGGGAGATCTCTCGAGCTTCTGACACGAGATATAGGTAGTATACAGGGTTAGGGGTTTGATGAGGAAATCTACGGGCGGAATGAAAGATTGCGCTGTACCAGCTTCCAAACTTACTAGGAAAACATAAACGACAATGAAGACGGCCAAGTTGAAAGCCAAAACGCGATTTCCATTAACAAGCCCAGAGACGAGACACATAATCGACCCCCGATACAGGCGGTAAACCATCCACGAGAGCTGTAGTATGTCTGCTCACTATTTGGGTATTAATTCACCATCAAGTTCTACTAAGGAAGTTAGATTCATGCGAATTTTCAACTGTCAAATGCTACTTACTTATGGGCGCTCGAACAACTAGTGAACTGGCGGTGGGCTACTCTGTCGCGCGGGGGCCTTCCCCTGGCGTCTCCAAAGTCTCCAACTTCAATCGGGGTCCAAAAGAGTAGATCCCGAAATAGTGGGGTCACGGTGGCATGGCCGCGAGCATCACGTCACTAGGCACTGCTGTCCGGCTTTCCGTCTTCTAGAGTCTTTTTGTTTCTATGCTTTTCTCTCTTGTATTTAGATGGAGGAGACGCGAAGTACAAGCCACAGATTCCAACAAAATTTTCAGCATCCTCTACCATTGGCTCTACGTGCCACCATACCGTAGCCTGAGCTTCATCAAGAGAGGCATCGCTTTGCAGGTAAGTTAAGTAACTCTTGTCTTCAAATCTAGTTAAACTTCCGGGTTTCCCATTGTATTCTGACAGCGTGGCGAGTTGTTAGACAGGCGCCCTAGTCCAGGATTAGGCACGAACAAAGCAGTTATGGCATCCCTCAAGTTCAACAACCCGCCCGGTGCCGCACAAAAGCATAGTGATCTTGGGCACTACTCCCAGTCTGTTGATCTTGGCAACGGCATCATCAAGTGTTCGGGGCAGGGAGGTTGGGATCCTGAGCACGGGACCCTTGACGCGAACGACAGCAAGAAGCAAGTTGCGCTGGCCATGGAGAATGTCGACATCGT